CGTAGGGGGAGTGCAGGAAGTAGAGGGACGTCGGGCGGGCCGTAGGGCGGTCTTTCGTTCGGGCCGGTTGTTGGGACGGGAGACTTTGCGGAAGGCGCGAAGCGAGTCGCGAAATTATCGTGGGGAGGGGAGGAAAGGTGAAGGGGGACGAGGAAACAATAACTCACCCTAAAAGACGCCTTGACTCAAACCAATATCGGTAGGAAGATGGCTGAGTTATTCTTCAGATAATATTGAGAAACAATTTTCGCAACTTCAGTTCAATTCACAATATCTCTGCGTACTATAATGACTTATTAATTTCTAAAAAAATATTCTTAAACTATTCACGAATCCAATCAATATCTACTATTTTGTGAAATGGCCGCCTCAGGTCACAAAACGTCGTGTCTTTGTAAACCTTATGCTAATGAAATACTATCATAGTACTACATACGAAGTTATTAGCTGCCTTTGATCCAAAAGGAAATCTATTCCAATAATTAAAAAAAAAACAGATGACTTTGTTTGATAAACCATACAATTAAAAATTATACTTAGTTTTACTTATACCTAAACGTCTTTTAACATATTTATAATTTTAATGAAAAAATAACCAATTTTACTGTTAATGTTTTATTTATGTTGAGGTTGTAGGTGTGGGCAGGCCAGGGGTTCTTATTTTATCAACCACACACTATTGCCACTATCTTTTACCCAAGCAGTCCCCGGCTTCTTCCCTGTGATATCCATGTAGCTTTCGAAGCTCCAACCAGCAACCGAAATTTTACTCACTGTTGCCAGCGATTATTCAACTTTCAAATGCATTTGCAGATGATTTCCGCTGTTCGATTGTATTCCTCTGAAGAACGCCGCAATGATGACAAACCAACACAAAAATCTAATTCTCCAAATCGGTACCACAGAGCTCTCAATCGGGCATAATTTGAATTCAGTACCATTGTATGCAATTCATGTAACATTCCGGCTTATTGCTGCTAACAATTATGACAGGCTTTAGCTTTTTGATACCAAGGAAAAAAAATATATGACACAGACTCCTCCCCCCCCAAAAAAAATCTTTACAATTTTGAAACAAATATTTATTGCTAAAATAATTTCAGAACATTTTGGACAATATTGAAAAAAATGAAACTTTTCGAGCATAGCAAATAAGTCGATCACATCCACAAAGTCAATTTTGTCGAGACTCTCATTTTCTTTTGACAGTCTCGAATTTAATCTTTCTTGCAAATTGTTGTTCGTAGGTAAGTTTTAATTAATTGTATTTTGGAAAAGCTCCGCTCCGATGGCTACTGTAACGGGCTGTAATAAGCATATTCTCAGTGTAATTGCAAGGTTCGGAAATACAGCAATCTTTATTCTATTTATTATACATTGCAATGCTTCTTTTACTAACACATGGTCTTGTGGTAGAATATATTGACGAGACTTGAAGGCTTGAAATAAAAACAGATGTAAGTGCAATTTTTATACTTTCGAGAAAAATGAGATTATATGTACATTGCACCCAATAGCACTTACAATTCCTGCCATTTATAATCAACTCGTAACATTATCAAGTAATTTGTCCGGACTTTGATAGTTATATATGTTATAGACCTTGATTTATTCATAATTATTCTGCTAAAAACGTAAAATTAACAGACATTACATTTACATCCATTTTTTAAATTTCAAGTCTCGCTTTCGCAAATAACTTGACCGGCGTAGGTGGCTGAGAGAATCATACAAGAACAGGGCTAATGACTTTAGTATTTGACACGTCCGGAATCACTAACAATCTAATAAGTTGAGAAGTGAAGGGGGCCACTCACGAAGCAGTGCGAGGCGCAGAAGCGCGCGTGCAGGCACTTGAGCACGGCGTCCTCGGTGAGCGGCCCAGCCAGGTGGATGAGGTCCTCGAGCTCCGCGCAGCCTACGGCGCGCACGGCGGCCAGGGCGGCGTGGGATGCGAGCGCGAGCGCGGGCGCGGGTGCGGGGGCGGGCGCGGGCGGCGCGGGGCCCTGCTGGCCGCCCCC